AAAACCACTTTCACTAAATCAGAAACCTTACATATATCATTAATGTATAATATAAATAATTTGGGTCCCAAAACAGAACCCTGAGGCACTCCACATACAATGTCCAGCTCACTCGATTGGTATTCACCCAACTTCACAAATTGACGCCTCTGTGTCAAATAACTTCTAATCCAATTCAAAACCAATCCTCTGATCCCATATTTTTCTAACTTATCCATTAATAACTCATGATTGATTAATAAATATTCCCATCGTGTATTTCCTCTCATCCATAGCACTTGTTATGTCCTCCAATTAGGTTGGTAATGGCCAGAGATGTCACTCGGTTCAACCTAAAACCATATTGGCAATCAGAGACGATTTTATGTCTATCAATAAACATACATTGTAAACAAAGTGACTTTTACATATTTTGCAACATGCAGCAAAAGCCCCCCCAAATCATCCACCTTTTCTCATTTGATTATAAGCAGTGGTCCATCCGGATACAAGGAGGGATTTAGAATCTGGCTCAAAAATTTCATCAGTGTAAAACAGTTTCTGTAGAAAATGTTTAAGGGGAACTTGAACTGGAAACTTGAAAAAATGGGCTGGTCTGCCATCTAGCGGTGGAGATCAGAACATAGTCCATTATCATGATCATGCACTGTATCACAGTCCATGTTAAGATGTCTGAATAATGCAATAATGCACACTTAGATTACTTACTGTAATCATTCCTGATGGAGAACAAAAATCAGGCACAATTTCAAAATTCATCTGAGGAGACTTCAGAAGTATGAGTTAGACATCTTTTTGTATAAATCCCCTTTTTCTGTAACATTGGAAGTTATCTGCTTGATTTGTGAAGCTCAGAATGCTAGTGTGAACTAAACCATGGAATATGTTTTTGCATGTTTATTGTGTTTCAAGACAGACTTAGAAAGATTGTGAATGTTCACTAAGGCTTCCTGTATTTACTACTGTGGTATTACATTCAGTATCACTAGTTAATAATAGCTGATTTCTGTGAGAAGAACCTTAACTGTGTGGTACTTTTAAACTTTTAAAGCCACAATGAAACAAAGGCAATTTACCACATTTATTGCATACAGTCAAGCATAAAAATAGTCCTGTACTTAGACAAAGGTATGCAGTTTCTGCATATGCATACAAAACATAAAATATATAAATTCTTAAGGCTTAAATATGTATTTGTAGTATATTTGGGTGGTGTGCAGTAGTTCTCAGGAGCACTGTATTGCAAAATGAACAGAAGATATGTGTTGTGGAAATTTATAAACAATGACTGCACAAATTGCAAACTCAATTTTGACATGTTATAATGTGAACACCTGAGCATGTGAAGGCTGATTGATGCCGCTTAACATGGGGTTACATTCTGGCAGCTGAAAATTTGGTTAACAGTGAAGCACAGCTTTGGCTCAGTTTCAACCAAAACACACATCAGATAAAAAACCAACTTTCATGTTCAGTAGAAGATCATAGAGATACAGTGAATATGGTCGCATTAGGCAGCTTGACTTCAAAGTTTCTGTGTTTCCTCAGTGTTCACTTTCTGTTTACCCGGTTATAAACCTGTTGTTCCTTTCCTCTCATGATATAACAAAAACTACAGTTCTCTTATATTTGTAGCAGATGTGCTACATGAAAGCTGAAAAAATCATACATAATACACCAATTTTGATGACTTTTATGTTCTCACAATAATGTAAAAATTCAACTGCTAGTGGATTTAAAATGTCAGTCATTCAGATCCTGTTCAAACCTACAATAGCAATAGTTTGGTCTGTCCTGCATGAATGGCAAAAGATTTGAAGCCCAAACACCAGGTGCAGTTTTCTATGTCTTCTTACTTCCAAATCATGTGCTACAGTAATGTCACGGTGTTTCAGGAATGTAGGCACAACTCATTAACAATATAACACTTTCATATTGTTTATCTGCTGAAAATTCTTCAACCATAAATATCTTTTTGTGGGATATTTTGGTGGCATGCAGTAATTCTGACAAGCGCATGAACATTAAATGGTTGACAATTTTTTCTAAAAACAAAAACTAATGAATTTAGAATAATTTCAAAGTTAAATTTACCACGACTTTACTGCGAGTACAATTCAGCCTTTTAGGTCGAGGAGTCACAAGCAGTGGAATGTCAGAATATACTGGATTTGCTGTTTTGAGAACATTCTTGGCAACATTCAAAACAGATGAAACCTTTTGAATGTTGCGGTGTTTACGTCAGGTCCAGTTTCATTTCTTTTCAGGCAGACAAAAAACTTTCACATTCTGCTGAGGCTGAATTTCTTCTGTAAAGAGGGCAAATGTAAGTTTGTCTTCTTGAGATGGAAACACTACAGCTGTGTATGGGCTTGAGGTTCCCTCAGAAGTGAAAAGAAACATCTTGGGGCTTGATGTTTCCACAACCAATTACTATGGGCTGTAGTATTTTTTCAGCACAGTTTCTTCATTGAAGATAACGATCTAACAGTTCAACTTGCACACCATTACAGAATATCAGGCATTCTCTGTTTATGATACAAACTAATAATCCTACATCTTATAATACAGTAGCTCTTGTTTCTATTTACCCCATAAGTACATAATCATCAGTACATTCATCTTTATTCGAGCACTCAGATTCAAGTGCTGCCGGGATATTAACTGTGGCATAGTCGCAATCATCGTCAGAGGTAGCTCTTTTTCTTGATCCTTTGGCAATGCCGTGGTTGATAGAGGCGTACATTACATCCTCAGCAGGCTGTCATGGGGTAATACACAGAGTAAGATGGGAATTCCATTGCCCTGAACATTTGCTAAAACTTATTTCTTGTAATTTTTCATGCTGTGTTAGTGCATGTAAAAGGCTACACCTTCCTGTGGATGAAAAAACAACCCCAGGTTTTGTTTTACAACAGAGGCCTTGCACCAAAACCTGGTCAGAATGCAAATCTAATAGAGGAGCACCTCTGACTGAGATATCATAAAAGCACAGGAACAGACCTACATCCAGTGAAAAACTGGAATTTCTAACCATGATGATGTATGTTAGATTCAACACTGGTGTGGGCAGGTCTACCTTGTTATCTCTGCTGTCTTTATCATCAGATGCAGAATCCTCTGAAAGAGAAAATGTCAAAATGTAAAATGTAACAATATTGTTTACAGGTTTTATATGTGCAAAATGCTATACATGCTATTGCAAATGTAGTTTTTACCTTTTCTTTTCTTCTTTGTCCTGACAGTAAAAGAATTGGAAACGATGAGGCCCCACCAAAAACAGTCAGCCAGATCAACATAGCATCAGACACACAATAAAGAAAGCCATTAGTGTAAAATAAATTTATTTAAATAAAAGAATGGAAGTGCTGGGTCCTGCTCCACCTAACCGGAGGTTATGACCTTTACATCATAAATACCAAAGAACATAATCAAATAATATTTGAACAGCAGTGTTGCCTTGACAACTTACTAAATAACATGTGCTGCAACAGGAAACACTTTGCATACGCCTACAGCCCGCATTGTATATGGCCAACTGTCTATGTCAGTGACTAGCAGCACTGCACTTGACACTTTACATTCTTCTGGGTCTATATCTCATTAGCAGATTGTCATTCGTACACACTGAAAATTCTTCATGTTTGACAAGTTGTTGATGAAGCTGTTGACTGAAACTATGTCTGTTGTTAGCCAGTAACCACTATTTCCTTACTGAAGCAAATGCAGAAGCTGCTTGTCACCGGGCCAAAAAGCAAACTGTTTCATTTAAACAGTTACTACCAGCCTTCTTATTTTCTTCTATTTAATCTCTCTTCCTGCTGCTGCTGCTGTTTCAGGAAAGCTTTAGAAAGCAATTATTATATGCTGAAATTTGACTTTGAAGCATCTGAAAGCACCCCCTGCTTCATGCCTTTAAGGATGGATACTTACCCCGAAGTGCAGTTTCCCATAATGTGCCCACAGAATCTGAATGTTCACGCTGTATTTTTCAGCAGGTGGCAGTTACCTGTGTCTGGCTGTTTGAGAGCAACCCTAAGCCTGACACTATGACAGACACTGGTGTTTCAGATCTATCACTGCTCTATCTGCTGCTTTATGAGTGCACACAGGCCACAGTAGAGAGGGAGAGCAAAGAGAGAGAGAGAGGAGACTAGACAACAGCCTATTTTTGTGCTATTTTTATTTCCTGTGGGTGATGGTTTCTAACACACACACACACACACACACACACACACACACACACACACACACACGCACGCACCCATACACATGCACACACATGAACACACAAATGCATGTTGCATGTATTTATTTTGTGTAGTGGAAAACCTCAAATATATCAGTTCATCTGAATCACAAAAAAAGCAAGCAGAATATAGTCCAGTCGTTTCTCTGGATGATTCAGAGCTGAATAATTAGCACTCAAAAGTAATACTTTAAATCATTTGATCACTTAAAATAAAACTTCAGTGGCAGAAGTATCAGCAGCAAACATCTGCAAGTAAAACTATCTGTACTGTTAGATACTAAGCAGAGCAGGTGATAACACTTTACTGTGTTGTTTGCTCTTGTGACTGTTTTCTCATTTGCATGTTTGGCACATTTTCTTGATAGCTGATTTTAAGGAAGTCACTCACCTTTTTTCCACTTTCATCAGAAAGTCCAGCTCACCGCATGTGGATGCCATTAAAATACAGAAGTACTGAATCAGTTTGGCATGGTCTCAGGAAAGGCAGCTCTCTATGATGTACTCATGTGTTGGGTATACGTTACAATATTTATTCATCAGTTCTAGATGCAACCATGAATACTCTGAAGAAAAGTATTTGTATAGTGTTAATTTATGCCATCTGCTGGTTGTATTAAAGGAAATAAAGAGCAAAAAGAAACACATTTGTTTTATGCAGTGTCATGGTACCATATCTCTAATCTAGTGAGAATACACAATGTCATGCTGTAGATTCACAGTATATTCAGAGGTGGTCCTAATATTCTGACCCTCTCATGTATGTAACTGGGGAGGACAAAAATATAGAGAGAGTTCTGAACATAATGTAGTTCAATACAACACCACCTTTAACTATGACCTCACCAATAAACATGTAATTTAATTTATACATTTATGACAATTTCATCAAAAACGAAAACATTTTGAGCTTCATAAACACAGATGTTAAGGCGGAAGTGTTGCATTGAAGTGCATACATTTGTAGGGGTGTACCTAATACAGTGGCTGCTGAGTGTATGTGCTAGTTGTGGCTAATGGATAGATAAACCTATCTAATGACCAAAATGACGAAAAATGATCATTTTCTTCATCATTTTTGACCTTTTAAGGGATTTCGATTTCGCCATCCTTATCTTTGCGCATTGATTAAGGTCTGATAAATTGCTGTCAAGTGCAAGGCTTTTGATGAATCAATATCTGTAGAGGCAAAATGTTTCTTAGTCTCTAAATCAGTAATTCAGTTCTAACTAAACTAAAGTAACAGCTGAAATGGTGCCATGATTTGTTTTTAAAGCAGGCTGATGTTGAAAGTAGTAATTCACAAATGTCCAGTGTCAGAAAAATGTTTGTTGATAATTGAACATCCAGTGGCAAATACATGCATTGACATGCAGTATATAGTATTACTGTTGTACACCAGAGGGTACTGTTGGAAAAGTCTGGAATAGATTTACATACCACTGTTAGTCTGCAGCGGAAAAAGTCAACTTCTACCATCTGCTGGTTGTGTAAGTGCAGTGAAAAACCCAAACTTCTAGCAAGAATATACAAGATGACACATCCACCAAACATCCACACTTGTGATAAAAAAGAATTAAGTGTCATTTACTGTATACTTGAGTTTTTTTCTTTCTTATACCTTATTATTTCAGTAAGATGGTGCAGGCAGCCTCCAGTGCACACTGCTGAGCAGTGTAAGCTATTTTCAAGCATAGGTTGTCTAGAGTGAAAATACTTTTCATGCACCACACCTGTGATCTCATTATCATCATCCATTTCATATAGATGCACCCAAGGCTTCAGTCTGACTTTGAAATCAGGATGTTACAACTTCCTGCTGGGCCCCAGTGGCCACCTGAGCCGCTTCAAGGCAACAGGAGAGTGGTGCTGGCTGAAATGATGACTCTGAGCAAATTACAGAAGTGATCCCAGATTTCCTGACAAGAAGTGACAAGCCACCCCTGAAGCCCTGTAGGTCTCGGTTTGTGAACTGAGAATGAACAACGACATCTGTATAAATTAGTGTTTCTGTAGGTGTGTATCACAGAATTAAATTACACAGATAAAACACATTATTTGGTTTCACCCACAGTGGCATTTCATAATACAGCGACGTTCACAAGTGTAGGGTGGTCTCTTACTGTTCAGTAGGTGGGAAGTCAGGAAGTGGTATGCTTGTCACTACAAGCGAAGTAAGCCTATGTCTTATAGGTGTGAAGGTTCAGGTCACAAACATGTTGAGACTCATGAATAGACGGGTGTACACCTATCTGATGATATTTTGCTGTTTTACATTCGTCTCCATCTATCAGAATGGTAAAGGTAAGTCTTAACATTCTATTATTTATTTTTTTATTTTATTTTTTATCTAAATATTTAAATTACGATAAAATATTTTAATGCACCTTTGGGGTCCGATATCTGAGCTGTGTGTCTGTTAAACCTGTAGTCGGAGAACAGCAAAGACAATCTTTTATGTCCTATCGTCATCAGATAATACACAATTTAACCAAATATCTGCAATCTATAATGATGTTAATTGGACAACATAGAGTATAAAGACATGACATATGTTTTTTTTTTTTTTTTTACTTTTTCCTTGCCTTTTTTCAAAGGCATGGATCAGGAATTATAGTCAAGGTTATTGACTGAATTGCTTTTTAGTTAAGAGTTTTCTGTGATCAGGGCAAAGCACTGACTGTAAGTTCAATCTAAGTATAAATAGGTTAGGCCTGGTGGTATCCCATATGTAATAACAATAATTATGTGATTTGTACTGGGTAATTTAAAAAGTACTAATAGTACAATTTATTTCTTTTATTTGTTGCCTCCCTGTGATGCTCCATACTGTATGTACCCAATATTTCCACTGTAATGTGTGAGTTGTTTATACTAAGAAACAAAAGGTAGAAATAATGAATGTTATTTCAAACTCATTACTCACCAACCAACCAACTTCTTTTCAGACTTGCCTCCTTCATGTAAGGTTTGGCTGATGGTGCAGAGAGGCACGACAAAAAAACGTGCCCCAAACCAGTCGCTCACACTCAAGTGTCCTGTCAGACACTGTGGAGAATCGTTAGATGTCACCTGGTGTAAACTCCTCGCCCCGAACCACTGTGACCGGATAAAAGAAACAGAGAACATAGAAATAACACAGGATAACAATACAGAATACAGAAAAGATCAACTGATCTCATATTTGACTTTCAAACAGATTTCTGTTTATGATGATGGCTTGTACAGATGTGAATTAACAGGAAGCCACCACAGGTATGACCAAATTAGTCATACCATCAACATCTCAGTTTCAGGTATGTTGTTTTTGCCTTTCTCAGTATCAAAATATGCAGGTTGTATGTCAGATTCCATGCATTAATTCTGTCATCTATCATTCCCTAAAGACAACAGCAAGGGGGTTGAAGACCTTGACAGTACTTCAGGTAAGGCTCTGTATTTGTTAGACAATAAATGGATGCATTTGAATGGATACAGACCAGGACTATTGATGTTGTTCTTCTTTTCTTGTAGCTGAGTTTCTGAGGCCTGCTGATGATGAGGCTGTGACCTGGCGGCCCTACTTATTTATCTGTGCTGGCATAGCTCTTCTGGTTGCCACATTAACAGCGGTAGCATACCTAAGGTTTTATAACTGTAAAGGTAAGAACACAAGATGTTTTCTCATTTTAGATTACTGTGACACAATATGTAAAGTATACCTCCTAAACATAAAAGCTTTTACTTTATGTCATCTTTACAGGAATATGGATCAACAAGCCAGCAAAGGTACAGGTACAGTAATGTGATACAGTGTTGCTAACTTTAGTTTGATGTCAGTCTGACAGGACTGGCACACTAAATATGAAGTTAAGGCCAGCAGTCAGACTGGAAACAGGGAAACAGCTAGCATGACTCTGTCTAAAGGTAACCAGATCTGCTAAGCAGTGCTCCTAAAACTAATTAATTAATATGTTGTATACTCCTTGTTTAATCCAGACAAAAACTGAAGTGTAAAAAGGCTGTATTTTACAAAGGTGTTATGTGCCAGATCATTTCCTGGTCTAATTTCTGGAGTCTTGTGTCACCACAAGGTTGCAAAGCAACCAGTGACAACTCCAGGAAGTTATTACTAATAGTCAAGAAATAGTGTGTAAAACTATGAGATGTTTTTTTAAGGTTTATGAAGGCATTAAACAGATGATGTACATAATAATGTGTTCATTTGTGAGCTTTAGAGATGCTGGTAGGTGGAAACTATTTTTGCATACATCCAAGCTAGCTGTTTCCCCCTAGCTTCAAATTTACATATGTGCCAAGAGTTAAGTGATCTATTTGTCTAACTCCAAAAAAGCATATTTTCTAAAAATGCTGAACTATTCCTTTAAACTGGGTGTTCAAGATGTTTACTACTGTGTCAGGCAGCAGCATTTTATAGGCTCATTTAAACCCGTTCTGGTGTTTTGGTGTTACAGGAAATGTCAACCCACATGATACCCGACCTCCCTAAGAGTCCGCCTTCCACTCCTGTCCTGCAAGCTCACTTCTCCATTCTGAATGACCTCTACTCTCCAAGTAGTGTAGGGACACAACCAGCGCCACCTTGCCTGATTACCAATGGGAACCAGCCTTTGGCAAACAGCACAAGTCAAGGTTCAGACAGTGTAGTGTACACCGCTCTAAACCACAAACAGTCTGGGAAACCTGCCAGAAAACAGCATATTGCAACCAAACAAGAAAGTTCGTATGCCACCATAAGTGTTTTTTGAATATTATTAATTTGTTAAACAGAAGACACACAGCACTGAGACATGGATGAAAAATATTATTTGAGTTTTTAAACTTTGTTGGCCAAAGTTTGTATAAAAAGTCAAGTACAGACTCAAGGTGCGTGCTTCTGTCTGATTTGATAGAATGAAGACTAATGTTTGGGAGGCTTCTTTATTTTTAAAAAACAGATTTACAAGTGATTCTTGGCTGATTTGTGTCTGTGGAAACATTTTGCTCTTTGACAGACAACAGACATGGTGTTCTACATTCCTTTCAGTTGAGAGCTGAATATTTTAAAGAAAGAATCATTTAGCTTGCTTCTATTATACCATTATACTTTGTTAAAAAATACAACCTTAAAACCTGAGCAATAAGAATATGAGCAAATGTAGTTAGAAGCCCAGTATGTTTCATATTTTCTGTTTCATGTACAGACCTTAGTGTTTTTTTCACCGCCAACTATGGAAATCTACAGTCTTAGTGGCCTGAATATCACAGCGGTGTGGTTATTTTAGATGCACAGGAAGTTAAATGAAATGATCTGTGACACTCACATCATGTGTGGTAGCACATGTCCTGCCTCTGCTCATCTACATATGGTTTAGACAGAGATACTGCAGCGTGGGCAATGGCTTTACCCTTATGGCTGTCTCTTTTCTTGCAATTCAACAAAAGTTAATAAAAAGCACAGATTGGCTTTTTAAAGTTATGGGAAACAAAGAGAGGAGAAAAACAAAAGATAGAAGGGATCAATCAAAACCAACTTAAGACTTTAATAAGACAACTTGTCGCAGTAGACCATAGGCTAGTGGTTCCCAACCTTTTTGGGCTTGTGACTCATTAAAACAAATTCATATCTACCTGCAGCTCCTCATCACTAAGGCCTTGGGCTGTGAGCAGTTAATTGATTATTTTCCTTCTCACACTGTTCAATGTGAAGGCTTATGGAAGGTGAGAATATCTAGCATATTGCTGGAAAAAGGCAAAATTTACAGAATGGAAAAATTCTGGAGCCACAAATGTAGTCTACATGTGGTTTCTGAGTCCTGAGTGTTATGTGAAATGAGTTGGTGAACACGTTATGTGTCTCTGAGAGGAAATTTCCCTTCTCAGCACCATAGTCTAGTGGTCACAGCCCACACACTTTTTGTGCTTATAGTCTCGATTGCACTCTCACTCACTCACTCACACACATACACACATAGAAACACACATTAGTAACTGTATGTTTTCTCTGGAGGACAAAGCCCTGGTTCAGATGGCAGAGAGATGAAGTATGTGGAGGCTTGTGTGAAGGCAGTGTTTGAGACAGGTCTGATTAGACTGAGCTTGAGGCCACTCAGAGAGTGTGTGGAGTCTGTAGCAGCGCCCCCATCCATGAGGGGTCACTGAATGGTTTGATGAGTATGGAAATGATGTGAGGTTTTAGAGCGATGTATTAGACAGCATCTCCAGCACCGTCATTAAAACACCAGCTGATGGAATCTTTTGGAGGAATGGTGTTCATCCCTCCAGCAGAGATCGAACACCTGCACGCATGTTCAAATGTACTACTCATTTTCAGTGGGTCCTATAACATTCTCTTAAAAATTAGCCCCCGTCATCGCAGCCTGACTTGCACTCACATTCCTTAACTTGCCTACCTCTGTTAACTGTTAAATCTTTAGGGATTATAGATTTCAAAACTTGCAACAGACTTTTTAACATCTAACAAATGTGCACATGCAGACACTCTCTCTCTCAGGACACATACAAACTTTAAAACACAGAAATGTTAGAGACAGGCATGAATTGATTGAGCCCGAGTGTGTGGCCTTAAGCACTGCAGCTAAAAGACCTTGTAGCATTGCAAGATGCGGATGGTGGATGTCTGTAAGATTATTAGACAGGAGCATGGAACAGTTAGGATTTAAGATAGCAGCTATGTTTTTAATGTAAGCTTTTTAAACTAATATTTACCACATCTTATTTTTAATCACCAATAAAGTGAAATGAAACTTTAACTTGACTGAGTGTACCACTTAGCCTACAAAAGCCCCATTTCAGCTGCACATCCAAACTGTCTGTTAGTTCTAGTTGTAATCCGATATGTATTTGTGCAAGCGCTGAGGTAAAAACACCAATGCAGAAAACTAAAAATACTATCTGTCATCACAGAGCTTATGAATACATCAGACCAAAGCTGATGTGTACAGTATGAGAGTAGCGTTTGCTCTGCGGGGTCCACCGTAACTTGCCTTTGGAAAAAAGAGCATCTGGCAGCCAAGTCTGGCAAGCCAGCAAGGAATGTTCTTTAAATCCAGTGTAAGAGGTACAAGGCTGATCTGAAAAAGATGGAAGAATGGCAACATTTGAAACTGATAAAGACTCAGAGACTTACTTTTTTATTTTTGTTGCATTTACTATAACAAGTTTACAAAGTTGGTCACAACACATCATTTCATCTACAGTTGCTCCGTACAGGGTGCTGGGTGCATTTTCATTATTAAAAAAATTATCTAAAGCCACATTTCAGAATTATTCAAATCCCAGCTCTGTGCTCATAATCACTGTGGTATACATATAGTGAAACTCCACAGAGGAATGCTACTGAAAATCATATTACTAGTGAGGACTGTGACTGAACCCAGATAGTTTGATAACCTGAAGTAGATAACTGACATATGCTTTGATATGCAAGATTATTTTAACAAGCAGCTTACCTATTTAAATGCACGTGTAGTACAGTGCATTCACATTCCTTTGAAGGGGCACCAAAAAGGTTTCAGCTTTGCTTCCTCAGGGTACTGATTCAAGTCAGTTGACCATGGAAGGAAATCTCTACCAAATATACAACAACACCCCCTCCACCCACACACATTTGTACTTCTGTCTTTGTGAGGACACTCACTGATATAATGCATTCCCTAGCCCCTTATCCTAATCTAACCTTAAGCTAATTCTAACCTGAACCCTCAAAAACCTGTTGTGGGAAGTGAGGCCGGCCAAAATGTCCCCCACTCCCACAGTATAACACTGCTCACACTGCTGACTATACAAAGTCAGCAGTGTGAGCAGACTTTGTATACTCTCTCATACAGTACACACCTAAACAGACCTGTAGAAAAGTTTGCAACAGACATTATACAAACAAGACATGCTGTAAGTATGCAGCCCTTTAGTTTAGCTAATAAAAAACTACTTCTGACAAGACCCACCCTTCACAATACACAGAAGTGACAGAGGCCATCGACTGAGGTACAAGAAGATAGACCTTAAAGGTAAGCTCAACGTGCCAATTAGTTGTGTTACTTATAAATGGGAGAGTCTATATTTTTCCTCTTGTCAAAAAAAACAAACAAACCCATAAACACAGACTAATTAAGAGAGGAATCTTCAAAAACAGGACACGGGTATAGAGTACAGTTTCAGTAGTAAATAAGACTAAATACTTTACTAAAACCACAGATGGGCACTGTAGTTTGTAGCAAATATTACTTAAGCAGGTATGAAAAAATGCCTTTGTTGGCTTTTTTCAGCCACAGATTAATACACATTTGGTGTTTTAGTGAGTATTTATGGAAGAAGAATAGTGTCTACTGGATCAAACTTAGAGTAAAGTACAGTACCCATGCTTATTATTTTGCCATACATTGACTCTGCTGTGCGCTGCACAGTTGGCAGCCACTGACTCAATCAGTTACAGAACCAGAGACAAAAAAATGTTCCAGTCAACATCTTCTTATGGACTTCATGCGAGGACAGCTTGGACAAGAGTCAGATAAAGAGGCAGAAGAGCAGAGTCGAATGTCCGGTGCTCATCAATAGGATTGTACTGGACACATCCATAGTAATGTGTCAAGACACCCTCCCTTTGTACCAAGATGATGATAATGATGATGGAGGGAAGAGGTTCTGCAAGGTTAGCTCTGAGAAGCACTGCCTCTTCTTTTCAGGCTCTGGTCTCTTCTATAATATTAATCAGCTGAAAAGAAATGCACAAAGAGAGCAGGGGGAGTACTGGCACAACAAGAGTTCATTATAAAGTTTTAAAACTCAATGTTATCAGACATTTGCATTTTTACTGTTCATTAAAGGACATTTTCAAATATGACTTAGTTGACCAGCGTGACAGCTTGACAAAGTTAGTGAAGAAGACATCCACACATTTCAGTT